TTGCATCCTATCAGTCAAGCACGAATTCCTGATTTTCCAGAAACACAGCCTCTCACTATTGCTTCCGTCTTGAAATTTAAAAATTGTATTTGTTAGTTTAGGAATGGTGGTACATGCATCGACACATTGCACGGCTTCCGCTGTTTATGTACGCCATGTTTCTACGGCGACAGTTGTTCAGAGATTGACTCGCGGTGCAGATCAGCTCAGCGTTATAACCGTACTGGCACTTTCATGGTGAAAGCGGGAAATGAGCATCAGGTGAGCGTGTGCAGCTCTGTAAGTACGGCTGGCAAGCTGATTGTTCGGAGCAGCAGCAGTAATAATGTGGTTGAATGAGGCTTGTTGAACTCGCCTCCTTTTTATTCGTGCATTTGCAGGATGCGAAAAGAGATTCGAATTTCCGTGATTTTTTACTCGTACTGCTGTCGTCATGTTCCATGTTAGCATTGGTACTGGTCGCCATTGTCTACTATCGGCAAAAAATAGCAAAAAAAGCTGCACCACTGGATCCATGCCTGCAGAACGATTTCAACGCAAGACGACTGACGAAATATTCCGAACAAAAGCCATGCCTCTCTGCTTGTGCCGGCCGAAATGCCGAGATCAGCTACTTCGAATGCGACAGAACAATCAAAACTCAAACGGTTTGATGCATCTTTGAAAATCAGGCTGAAATTCTTAACTTGATTTGTACTTGTTTTCTGCAAATGCATAAAATAGCAGTGGATGCTAATTGAGAGCAGAAGGGCTTGGCATGGCTGCACCCCACGTGTAGAAGCATCTCAGTTTGGCTGCTAACTATTTGGCCTTGATAGTATTGACTTAGAGCAGACTTTATCTGTTCATCATTTTCGCAGATGTTTTTAATCGTATAGGAGGAGAATAGCAAATCTGAAGGACAAGGTCCAGTTACACTGTCGCGTTATAGTTCAAATTCCATTTTTATGTGCATTTAATCAAGTCATGCGTTCTCAGAATTTCAGATTGACCACTGTGCGGTTATGATAAAAACAGCCGTGGGTTTCGTCCTCATCAGTGACTTCTTCCCACACCCATTCATTTCTCCATCCAAAACGCTTAGACCAGATTGCTCAGTGCAATTAGCATAGAGTATTAGAGCTCGAAATTAGCGGTGCAATTAATGAGAAGTAGCGAAAAGTTAACAATTCCTCATCGCTTTTGATGGCAAAATTTAGGACATTATGAATA